GGACGGGCAGATCGCGCACGCGAGGCGGCAGCAGCGGCGGCGCCAGCGGCAGCAGCTCCTCCTGCTCCTCACTGTCCGTTCTGTTTCTGAACAGTTTAAGGAAGTTCACGGTTTAAGGAAACGACTTGTTGTTTCTTCACCACCAACATCTGGGCAGAAGCTGAGATTTTAGGAGCTGTGGTTGAACCACCGAGGGTGTGAGCAGCCAGTGGGGGCGCTAACGCACAGTCAACAGTTTTCACTGCTGCAAACAGAAACAGAAGGAGAAGGAGGGGGGGGGGGGTCCTTGTTAGGCGTCTCCATGACATCATAGCGGCTGATCCGACCAGACCGACCAGAGTCAACGACCACAACGTCAGAAATCCACAAACTGTCCCTTTAACTCAGAAAGTCCCTGCGTTTGCACCACCCTGACACCAGGGCAGGTTATTTCTGCCCCTGGACGGAGTCTCGACCTCTTCCTGTACACAAAAAGAAGGAAAACCTCAACCCTGCATTTAAGACCTGTGTGTGTGTGTGTGTGTGTGTGGTGAAATGCATTCTGGGAGGAGGAAATGTCCAGTTTAGAGCCTCTGGTTTTCTCTTCAGACCTGTGTCCACTCACTGTGTGGGGAGGAAGAGGAGGAGGAAGAGGAGGAGGTTCCAGACACGAGCGACAAAAGAAATACCACACACACACACACACACACACACACACCTCAGTACGTGGTGGGGGGGGTGCGGGCGCCCGCTGGAGGGGGGGGGTGTGGGGGGGGGGGGGGGGGGGGGGGGAGTCCCAAACACAGACAGACTCCTCTTTGATTCTCCTCTTTGAGGAACATCAGTGTCAAGAAAACATGACTGAGATTTTCTCCTGCTGTGAACAAACTGTTCTTTCATGGACCTGGAGAGACGCTGCCCCCTGCTGGAGCCTGCTCCTCTATCGCCCCCTCCTCCTCCATCTCCTCTTTACTCCTCTCCTTTTCCTTTCCCATCACCTCCTCTTCCTCCACATCCTTCTCTGTAAGAAACAGGAACTCCTCCTGATCTTCCCCTTCCTCACCCAATAAAAAGGTCAAAAGGTCAAAGGCCGTGACTTTTTCTCCAGCCTGTGTGAGAGTCGTGCTGCATCACCTTTGACCGAACACGTCCTACGGGTGGCGCTCAAGCAGCCATCTGATGACGAGGCAACAGAGTGACATCACCCCTAGGCCACGCCCCCAACCCTCCGTCAGCGTCTGTCCTGGACCAGGAACGTGTCTCAGCCTGAACCCTGGGGTCACCCTGCCCAGGGACCATCTGTCGCCTCACCTGATGAATAACTTTTATTCGATGGTAAAGTCACAGATCCAACCATTCCAGACTGAAACACCAAACCATAGCTACGCTAAGAGTGCCCTCTACTGGACTATTATTCACAGGAAAAAAAAGGTGGTGTAGGAGTTGACAGTTAAGGTTTGGGAGAATCTGGGTTTAGAACCAGTGACTGTTTCAATAGAAGATTTTCACAGACGGAGGTTTCTGATTGGTCTGACTGGTCTGATTGGTCTGATTGGTCTGATTGGTCTGATTGGTCTGTCTCCAGGGAATTGAACTATTCTGTAGAGACAGTCATCATTTGGCGAAACCCGGCTGTTGCGTTAAAGATATGCTAACATAATTATGCTAATATCTGGCGATATTATTGATCGGCTAATATTATTGATCGGCTAATATTATTGGACGATATTTAGCCTTAATTTGATTAATATGATTTTATGATCGAAACGACCGTCTGTCACTCAGCCTACGGGGACGCGCATCAGAAGGACCTG